CTACAGTACTTGTATCCGCTTCTGTAGGGATGGGATGGTTTTCCTCAAAATCGGATACCTCGGGGAAGGCAAGCTTTTCCAAACATCTCCTTTCCACAGGAGACTCTGGAATTGCAGCAAGGTGATTAAGATAATTTGGGACGGGATGGGGGGAAGACTTCTACACCTTAGCTTTTGATTTATCCAAAGCTTTGCTTGTGCATTAAGTAGTCCTAGACACTATGAAGTTGTGCTGTAGTGTAAATAACCTATATAATTTCTTTGAGGCTGTACAATTCCTACGATAGGTAAGTTACTGCTATTCAAAAAATAAGTGTTGAAACCGTCACAAATGTATTGGTTTTTCAAGCTTCACTACAACTATCTTTTTAAAAAATACACAACAGAAAGAACTCCAGTTACACTACATAAACGTGTTCAATAGTATTTGGTTTATAAACACCGTGCAAAGGAAAACAATGGCATGTTGGTGATTCTTTCCAGTGGCAGAAGCAAGAAGCACTATTTCTTTCTAAAAGGCTTTAAAACTCAGTAACTGAGTCCCTGCTGTACCTGGGGCCTCAGCCGAAGGGGTCAAGTCATACAACAGCAGGAAACAATGGCTGATGGCAAAGTACTGCTGAGTGACGCAGGCATCCATCCCTCAGGCTCACCCCACCACAACTGCTTGGCAGTGGTCTGTCTGCAGGAGGTAAAAAAGCAGCAAGCCAGAGCCAGTGTGACTTCAGGAGATGTTTTGCAGGAGAGGCTAAACTGAATTTTAAGTATTAAAAAGGTGAGCAACTGGCAGTTGATTTTTGTTTTTAAAGTGTATGAACATAAGATCATTTTACAATTACTGGGTGCAACTGTATTCTGAATCTTGTATACGGCTGATTGGTTAGTTAGCAACTATAATCATGCGTAGATTCCTACCGGAAGGATAACTGTCAATTGTTTTTACAAATGTGTATGAGCACTTAATTTCACTAGTACTTTGGTGACACTGACATGTGGAGGATTAAAGCAACTGTAACGAGTGTACAATAAGACAAATCTCTGTCCCATGGGGGGAAATTTATATTTGTGCAAAATCCCAGTTAATAAGTTACAGTAGTTATTACTGTACTAGTGTGTGGCACTGTTCACATTTCAAATGCATCATTAATACCCGGCCACTCAGGGCACGGGCTTCCTCTGCAAAGTCTGAAGTCCACAGTCTGGATTTTATCTTTGACTTCCTTGTTCCTCTACCTTTGTGCAGTCATGTGGCGATTTGTCGCTTTGAACATCCTCAGTGTCTGTCTTCGCTGCCTGTGCCACCTCCTTCTGCTCCTCTGTTTTTTCTGCCTGCAGAGGTCCTTGCTCTTCGCCAGGGGATAGAGTTGGGGGTCTCTGATCCATCTTCTCCAGGTCATCACAGTGGCTGACTGAACTGGTCTCACTGAATGCATCAGAACTTCTTAAAGACCTTTTAAAAATTTTCTGACCTGTAAAGAGTTTGAAGAATACAGTACCAATGAAGGCAGCAAGTACCAAATGTGGTAGGCACAAGTTAAGTTTCAAAGAAAGTATCTGAATTTTACAGCTGCAAAGACAGATTTTATTTGGGTGCTAACTCATACCCTAAACCTAGACATCTTTTCTTGCAGTTACGGATACGTATGCAAGGCAATAGCACACGTGGGTTTCTTTTTTTATCCTATGTACAGAGAGACCATTAAAATTCAGCTGAAAAATGAGCTGCCTACATATGTACATGCACAGTGAAGTTGTTCTAGGGTAAAAAACTTGCACTGAAAGTCACAGGCTGGAAGCCAGCCGACTCAAAAGGCTAGTTAAAACTATGGATTTCCTGCCAGTCAAATCTACATTAATTACTAATACAACTACATGAGAAAGTGCCACAGATTTAATAGATCTTCACCTTAGAATGACTTTGTCCACAAATTATTAGGTAGCAACAGAAATGCAGTTGCTCAAATACATGATTATACATTATTCATGCTTTTATTTCAAATAAAACTTCTGGCCTGTTTACCTGCTAATTTTTAAAACTCAATAACCTCATAATATTCCAGAGGAAGGGTCAGTTGTCAGTTAATGGGATAACAACTTCCTGGAGTCCCAGGAAGAATTCTTGGGGAGAAAACAGATTGAGGTGGTGTCCTGTGCCATGTTTAAATTAAGGTTTTTAAGGTGGACTTAAGACACTAGAAGATGAGGTCTAGTTCCAGATGTTACAAAAGGGAAGATCACATGGGTCTTCCGGTGTCATGCAACTCAGAGGGCAGGACTTTTAGCAAGTTTCAGAGATAAAACTAAGATGTAAAAGCTTACCAGGAAGTCTTTGCTTTGCAAGGCTGGAAGTAGGAGTTGGTGGTGGAGTAGTGGCTGTTCCTTGGGCTTTTGATACGTACGTAGATTCTGTGGATTCTAAAGAGCCTGCAAGTTTTTAAAAAAAAAAGTATCAAGTTGAATATAGCACAACTTATACCTTATAAATACAGATTAACAGAAAACTTGTATGTAATAACCTTATTTTTAATGCATATTTCTGAAACTGCATGTGCTACGTTGTGTTGAAACTGCTGCTTGATGGTAATCCATTTCTGAGTACCTGGGAACACGAGTGCTGAGATGTACAAAGATGAATAAAATTTCCCCTCACACTCGCTTCACAGTGCTGCTACACCCAGTAGTCCTCTCTGCCTTCTCCACTGGGCCCATGGTGTATTCCCAGTGGCAAGCTACTGAGCGGTGCTCGTGGAAGGGGGATTGAGTTTTTTGGGGGGGCGGGTAAGCATTCCCAAGGAAACCTTGCTGTTCTCTGCCGTAAAAGCCTTCCAGTTGGTGCATCAAAAACAGAAAGAAAGATCCCAAATACAGCAGAAAGCCTTCATTGCTGTTTACAGAGACACACAGATGGGCTATTGTTCTAGGGCCAACAGACACTTTGCTGAGTTCAGGATTATTTTAAGACTCTGCCACAATTTTTACAGTGGCAATTTGTAATTTCAGAAAGTATTATGTTAGTCCATCAGTCTTAATGATGTAAAAGCTACAGACAGTTCTTTTCACATGACCAGACATGAATTACAAATACAGGAGTACAATAATAGTCTTTTACATTGTACTATTCCACTCATTACTGTCTCCCACAAAGCCAGGTTCATGCTAGGCCTCACCTAGTTTTAGCCTGCCCTTGTCAGGCACTACACTATTGAGGATGCAAACTAGTCCTTTCACAATGTGGCAAGAGCCAGGTGACCTCTCAAACCAGAATTTCAGATGGAGACATCACGTTCCAGTAGCGCAGTGGAACACCTGAGTGCCCATTTGCGGCACACATACACGTGCGTATACATGGGGAAGCAATGTTCTAAGATGCAAGCTACCCTGCTGCCTTACACAGTTACAAACCCAGCATAAACACCAAACTTGCAGCCTATGTAGCCAAAACTCACAGAAATGGTTCCTCCTTAATAACGCCAATGTCTAATGTAGCTTTTTTAATGTGGCTCAACATGCAAGAACAAAATGTAAACTGTACAAGTGAGGTTAGAAGATTGTCTTACGAGGTGTTACAGAAATAGCAAAGAGCGTGTTCTTTTACATCCTGAGGGTGGATTATGTCACTCGCGATCAAATCAGCACAAGAAAGCGTGTTGCGATTTTAGTATAAAGTTGGAAACAGTCCTAACAGCAGCGTAACATGGCTGCAGATGCACCGAGTCCTACCTGCTGTTAAATTAAACGTTCTTCCCTTCGGTGAGGCTTGGAATGGAGAAAACCAGTTCAGCACAGAGCCTACTACAGGTATTTGTCGTAGCAGTCCCTACAACATACACAAGCAAACACGGGCTGGTGAGCAAGCTACCTATGTGGTGACAAGTTATTTCAAGTTACCTAGATAACTAATGTTTAGAGCCTTACCTCTTCCAGAAGTCGTTCTTCGTTTGCTTTCTGAAGCTGAAGTTGTGCTTCCTGTATCCCTTTTCTAACAACTTCAGTCATGTTTTCCAACAGCTAATAAAAACCAGAAATTATGATATATATTATTTGGACTTCAAATTGTCTTTTTAGTTCAGGTTTTGAGGATGTAAACACAGTAGTCAGATATTTTTCTAATTTGACAGTATTTGATAATCGCTATTTCATTATGACTGGAGATTAAAGAATATACAGGCTGGCTGCAGGATTTTTTAAAAGATATACCCAGAGGACAGAATGCCATTTTAAACAGGAATGGTACCTATTTTTCTTTCACTTAGAAATGAGCCTGTGACCCAGAGTCTTCAAAGATCTGCTTAGCACATAAGTGTTCGTCAGATGCTGAATCTGACTGGGAAGAATTTTTAGGTTTAGAAAGTACATTTTGCTTTCTAAAGTACCCAGGACTTAAACCAGCCCCACAGTAAAGTGTAACCAGGTATGTGTCAGTGTAGGTTCAACTTAGTTTTCCAAATTTAATATACAACTGCCAATCTGATCCCTGTGGCATCCTATGCCAGCATCAGTGATGTTTTATACTGCAAAGGACAAGCAGCTTACTGGGAGAGCTGTAGGGGCAATAAATGAACACATGCAAGAAGTCAAAAAACAAAGTCACAATTTTGTCTTGTCCAAGACAAATGCCAATTTCTGTAACTTAATACGTGGTTTAATATTGCATGAAGCCTAGATGACAGGCACTTTCTCCAAAATGCCAAAAATTTCGGTTACTGCCAGTAAATAAAAACAAAGGAAAAAGAGGAAGTTGCTCCTTTTCCCTGGGGGAGAGGCAAGTCATGAATTGACTGCAAGCTAAATACCCCAAGGTGCTGACTCTAGAAGGGACTGCAATGGGACTGCATTTAGAGTACAAGGAAGAACCACGGTGTTTTCTGGTCCTGTCAAGAGGTTTGTCTTAAATTTTGGTTCTGCCTTTTAGTGTACTTATCTATATGTCCTAAGGGCTTGCTGATACTGGAGTAGGTTTTTTTTCTTAAAAGCTTCTCTCTTGCACCAAACATCACTTATCTAAATAATGCAAGTGTCATCCTTACAGGTTGTTTCTACTTCTCTATTTTGGACCAAATGGTATCGGATGTTTTCAGTACCACAGAGTTATTCTGGCTGGTTCCAAAGACTGCACCTTTCCAAGTCCTCCACTACTCTTTGTTCCTCCCTAGAAGCTTCAGGATCAGTAGCCCACATTCCAACATTCGGTTCCTAATCTCTCAACTACAACAGTTAAAAAACGGAAAGTACTCTACAGGCAAACCATCTTTCATCTCACCCTCAAAGCAGCATAGGGAGTCAAGAGTGGGCAGAAAGTCTCCAGAAAACACTGCTAGAAAAAAAGATCTCATTGCCAAAATCAACACACTCCCATGGCCAGAAATAGGCAAAGGATTTCTGAAGTTCTATTTATTTTTTAGGTGAGGAAATGAAATGCCCAACATTAGAGGAATGAAAGGACAGACATTCATTTATGATGCAGGTCATTTAGGAAAACTACTTTAGAGAACATTTGGTAATGTTCAGGTAATTACAAAAAGGAGTTGCATCATCAGCTTTATTACTTCAATAGGCAACTTGTAATATCTTTTTTAAGCCACCAATTTAAAATTTTTCACACATTTTAGGGTATAGTCTTATTTTAAAGCTGGTATATAAACAATCTCAATCCCACCGCATCTAGCAGTGATGAGAAACACCAGCTACAAGCAGCCTTCCCCTTCCGTTTTGGGTTGGGTTTTTCATTGGTTTTGGGTTTTTGTGTGTTTTGGCAGCTTAAATTTTAGCGACAAAATGAGCCTATTTTAGTACTACTAAAGTGTTTCATTAGAACTACTAAAACACAGGACCATGAACATAAATCAGGACATTCTCAGAATACTATAATCCTGTAACAAAAGTTCTCCTGTGTACACAGATGATTACTCCCACAGTAATTAATACAGTTGGTTGCAGGCAAGTACAATTTTTACTTTCACAAAGAACAAAACCATGTCCTGAAGCCAATATGGAAGGAGGGAAAAAAAAAAATTAAGGTGCTAAAATGCTCCGTGATTTATTAATACATACTCTTGAATTTTCTTCAATTTCTCTGCCTGTTGCTGCAATAGTTTCAACTAACTCTGACACATCCAGATCCTCAGTTACCATGCCAATATAAACGCAGTTCTTCTGCCCTCCAAATTCTGGACCTGTGATCACAGGGAGAATCAAGTCTTTGTGATGTACAAAAATGCATTCCCACAATAGTTGCAACACTCATGCTTGCAAATCTGGAAATCCTAATACATACACACATACACTCTTCAGTAATTAAGGGCAGTATCTGCATAGGTATAAATTATGCAGACTAAAAAAGCTCAGCCCAGCGGGTTTTCTAAAACAAGAGAAAACAACATCCAAACAAGAAAAACAGTGGATACTTTATACAGCCAAGGAGTTGTATAATAAATACCAGTGTTGAATATGCTTCGAAGTTGTTACTTTCTGCCATTTACAGATTGCTTCATTCCACAATTCTAGGGCACTGAATTTTTGAAAGCTGACTAGAAAGAGATCAGAGTTCTGAGTAAGCAAATTAATATTATTTCAGCTATAATGTGGCACTATGTAAATGTCAAAGTGCTGCTAATTATCATGAAAGTTATCTGAAGCTTTTAATCTAGCCATAGAAAGCAGTGAACTGGTCAGTGGGTTTTGAATGAGATCTGCTTTTCACTAGATATAGCACTAACTGAGAAGGCTCAGTTTACAAAGAGGAACACCACAGTTTTGATTCTTTCTGACAAGGAAACCCTTTTTGGTCTAGTTGCTCGTAAGTCAGTTTTCACAAGTATTTCTGAGAACAGTGCAGCTTGCTCACCCTCCTGAACATTTACTAACTGAAACCGAGGTGAGGAGGAAGCAAAGTTACAGATATTGTTTCTACAATAACCATATACACAGCAGTGTAATTTTGCATTATAATGACCTATCTACAAATGACCTACTGAACCATTGTATCACAGCCAGTAAAATAAATGACTATTAGCTTGAACAGAAGTTTTTTAAATAGTGCAGTTACCCAAAGAAAAAGTGAGATCCGACTCCAGTTCATTTAATTTTTTCAGAAGTTCTGTATTGATTTTTTCTAGTTCTTTTTCTTGTTTGTCATCATTCTTCCCATCACTGTGATAGTTGTATCTTCAAACGAAGCCAGAAGACAGTAATTTCACTTTACAGTACATACAAAATATATACACATTTAGTATGTTTCTAGCAATTTCTGTATTTTACAAACCAAAAATCTCAGAACATTACAGCTTAGATCAACAAGTTTATTGGCATTTGTAATCAGAGATTTTGGCTGGGGCGAGCTTGCTGCTGCAGACTTAATGGAACACAACAGATTTCTACGTAATATATTGATTATACTTCAACTGTTCTCACTATACGGAATCCTTCCCAGAAGACTGTATCAGAGATCAGAACAGACACTTGAAGGGGTTTTTGAAGTGGTATTCAGTATATAAGTGAATCCCGTTACAGATAAAAATGTTAAGTTACGCTTGGCTAAATACAGTAGGATGCACTTGCATACTACATATCCATCTAACAGATCCACACACTGCCTCCAATATTAGAACTGTTGCCCTAATTTTGCTAAAACAGCTTTTTGGCTTTTCTTTAAAAAAAAAAAAAAAATCCCACAACATTATAAAGGTAATTTGTCAAAAAGCACTCAAAAGCTTCAACTGGGTGCAAAGCCAGATAATAAAGAGCAAACAATACATCCAAATCACCACTGAAGAGACCACATATTCCCTTCTGTGAACGCACAGACTATCCAAATACATAATGAAGAAAATACTGAAAAATTTACCTTACGACACCTAATCCTGGCCAGCTAAGATCTTCAATATACAACAGGCCTACTGTTCTTCTCACTTCTTGCTCAAATTCCTCTCTCAGTTGCAGTGTACTTGTCAATATTGGTATCTTCATTTTTAAGCAGTCTACTAACTGATCAATATCTTGTATTTCTGTTCCTAAAACTGAAGAGCTGATGTATTAGTGTGTGATAAAAGTGAATAGATATCACATAGAGATCTGAATTAAGTCATCTGTAAAGAAGCCACTCTGTAAGTCAATCATTAATACAATTTACAGATAGTATTGAAATATCAATCTATATAATAGGTTTTTCTTCAATTATCTTTCCACTGATACTTCAAAATGGAGAGCGCTAAGGATTCCCTAAAAAAATTAGCTAATAGAAAAGATCTTCTGATGTTACAAATTAATAAGGACAATACCCTTTTTCATTACATCAGTGACTAGCATCAGAAAAATTCCTCTTCCCGCAGTCAAACAGATCATGAATTAGCTTCCATGCTGGTTTAAAACAAATCGAACAATCCAAGCATCGCAGCATCACCAAGTAATTTTATTCTAATATCTACTTCTCTGTGTACACCAGGATCTTCTCACGTCAGCATCAGGTGTTTTGACAGCCTAAGTCACTCACCCCACACAAGCTAAAAAGAGACACCATGCATCACCCTGAGCCCCTGCAAGTTGCTCTGTGCATCTGCTGAGTCTAAACAAAGTATATATACGGTGCTGGCTTAAACATGAAATTTAAGACACTTTCAAACCCACAGATGTTTATTCCCCCACCCCCCAGTAATTACAGAAAACCCTAGAGGTTTAGTAAATAATTCTTCTAGTTATGTAGCTATATTTTGAATGCAAGCACCATTTCAGTGTTGAAACACCTGTGTAGAAAGATCAAGCATCTTGTGTTAAGCAGCTAACAGAAAGGAAGGTAGGGATGATTTCTCTTTCCTATTTCTTTTGTAACTGTTAGAAACAACGAGCTTCTCCCCTTGCTTTTCCTAATGATTTTTAAAAATAATCAGTAAAAGTCTTTCTCTGCAGAGGCAGTGAGGCAATGTTACCCACAACAGCTAATGCACCCATTGACAAGGCAGAGCAGAATGATAAAGCTGAGATAGTTTTGTTTATAAGAAATCCTCACCACAGGAGAATATACTAAAGAGAGTTTCTTGAGAATATCTGCTTTTTCACCAGGAGATTGTTGTACAATTCTACAGCAAATCCCAGTTTTTACAAGTGGCTGAATTAAGTGAATGTTACCTGCGGAAGTCATTAGTGGGCTAAAACGCACACATGTGCCTTCATCTTCCAGTTCTACCACATCAACTCCACCTGCAGGAACCAGCTGTGCCAACTGCTCTCCTAGCTGAAGGGGTAAGGCACAGTTAAAGAAACATACAGAGCATGACCTCCTGCAGTCACTGACTCAGGCTACATTCTTCCCACACTTAAGGAGAACCACACGCTAAACACGGTTTTCTGTATTCCTCAAAATCACTTCTTGTAACAAAATACATTATCTTGCTGCTAATATGACAAAGTGGGACATGTACTTAAAATCACAAAAATTCAGGATAAGTTACAAGTGTTACAAGTCAGAATTTTCTGCAAAATTGTCACTGTCATTAAGTATGCCATGATTACTACACAATTGATCCAAAATAGTTATGTGCTCAGCTCTCTGAAAGCACAGGTTTCTAGAATAAATTCTGTTAAGATCTATAAAAGAAAGACTGTCTATTCATGACTACCGACATTGTCGATGAAGCACCTAGCTGATTAAAAAGAGTTTTAAAGTTTTCACATATTCCCACAAGACCAAGGAAAAAGAAATCCACTACCAACAGCTTAAGATGCAGTAATAATTTCAGTATTAATTACACGTAAAATAATCAGAAATGTGAAAGCAACTTTGCTTCAGAGCAAATTCATCTTCTAAATCCAAAATGCCCACTAGTTTGGCAAAGGCTATCAGATCAAGAATAACTATCAAACTAGTCTACCAAAGGTTTTATAATTACTGATGAACTCCTGGAAGCATTCCACTGTCACTTCTTTTTTCCTAAAGAGAAAAAGCATCCATTCTTACCCACTGATTGAAAGCATCATAAATGTGTCTTTCGTTGCTTATTATGGGGTGTTGAATAGTTGAGGCCTGTGCAGCATGTGAGGTTTGATCTGAATCCAAAGATACAAGAATCACAGAAGTGGATTTTTATTTACTTAACTAAACAAAAGGCAACCTAAAATTTAGATAAAAGACAATTACATTTCCTAGGTAATGTCACATCTACTCAATGTACTGGACCTCAAGCAGACTAACAAGGATCTTTTTTTAAAAAAGGTATGTTGAACATGACAAATACTAGAAGTAAACCAGAGTTGAATATACTAGTTTTAAAAACAACCAATAAAATACTTCTCTCAGGTCTGAGATTCAAATGCCCCAATGGAAATAAAAACAATGTTTTCACAAAGCAAAATCCTGTCACAGCAGGCTACAATATTAATTTGATGAATTAAGCTACTTTTTTAATCAAGTTTTAAGGATGACTTTCTGATTTAGACCACACAAAAATAATGCTAAGGATTTAAGAGTCCATTATACACATAAAACATGCATAAATGGCCAAACATCTTACATCCTTATAGTTCAGGTGGGTGACTTCTCCCTAGTAAAGCTTTTCAACTAAACGCATCAATGTATAAAGCAATCCACCAAGTCAATGCATATGGATGAATAGGTTTACTTTGTGAATGCAACCACTAATTAGATTAAAACCAAAAACAATCCTCCCCCATGCCCAACACAAAAAAGTCCACAGTCAATTAAAATCACTCATAACAAAACTATAGTTTTCTAGCAGTCTTTTGCCTCATCCCAGCCGGACATGTCCCCACCCTCAGAGTGTGCACATACAAACAGCAGAGCATCATCCTGTGTTGCAACCGAGGACAAAAATCCTCTTTCTTGGAGAGCACATCTAAGTAAGGGTGTTCTGCTCAGAGCCACAGGTGGCATGGCTACTGCATACCCATGACAGTACTTCCAGAGTTGTTCCTAATGTGTTCTGCTATTTTTACAGCTATTGCAACAGCAAGTGTAATCAGTAAAACAGAGAAACGTGGTTCGTGCAATTAGCCACTAAAAAGTTTAAAAGGAACAGAAAGCCTGAACAAAACCAAGTCAGATTACAGCTTGCAGCTCATGACAGACTTCCATCATCTGCTCTCAAGATCAAGATCATATGCAGATCTCTCCTCAAGAAGGCAGAAAATGACTTCTTATGAAAATTTGTAACACTGCAGACTATCTATAAAAAGAAGCTATCTCATGTATGGATTCTATCACTAGATTACAACCAGCATTCACAACCTTTTTAAAAGCATGTTACACATGAGAATTGCACTACATAACTTACCTCATCAAATTAATTTTAGGAATTAGTAGTTTAAAAAACTGTAGACAGGTTTGTTTTGTTTTTAAATAAATCACATACCTCTATTTGAATATTCCCGGAAGAACTTGAAAACCACCACTGGTGAACTCAGTTCATCTTCAACCTTCAAAAAAAAGAAAAGAAAAAAAAAAAAGAGAGAAAAAAAGGATATATTTTCACAGATTTTTTAAAGATTTAACACTGTGTATAATTCCTTAGACTGCTGAGCAAAGCAGAGCATTTTGTTTTGACAGCAGTAACAATGTTCACACTATCTCAGTATTACAAGTTAATTCTAAGAGTGTAAGTAAACATATCTGTAAACACAGGAAAGTACATTGTTATTCAGTTAAAGCAGAAATGTATTGATTTAAAGTATGCATAATTAAAATTTGGGCACTATAAAGCAAGAAACCTAAGCATTTTCATTAGTTTATTTAGCTTTAAGCATTTTCAGATATTAACAAAAAAAATTATCTTGGAAATCACCCCAGAAATAACATTATAATTGATCCTGCTTCGGGGATAGGAGAAATGGACTGGGCAACTCCTGGAGGTAATCTGAGGCTACATTTCACAATCCTAAAAAGGCAAGATTTATTTAAGTAGAAGGGGGAAGTGCTACAGTAACTCGAACTCCCAAGGCCACTAATACCCTTGGAAAAACAATTTTTATAAAAATGGTTGTTGTCACTCAGAATGACCCATGAATTATCTATTGCCTCAGAAAACTAAGCTGAATATATTTTCTATACATCAAGTAACAATTAAGGCGGGGGGGAAGGGGGAGTAAACCCACCAAATCCTGTTGAACACAACATCTCACAGAAGCTGAATTTGGAATGAATACATTAGATGTAATTTCTAAAACTATTTCTGGTGTAAAAACCTCAGCCTAAATAATTTTTGCGTAGAATTTCACAGAGTTCACAATATAATCTCAACAGCAGGGTAAGATGCAGCCAGAATGTATTAGAGAGGCTTATGGAAACTGGTTTCATAAATGTATTACTGAACAAATCCATGTTTTAAATAGAATTAAAATCAACCCATGGAAATAATTTCTGGATGTTGTTCTGACAGCTCCACTGAGTGCCTGAGTACACAGCAATGGAACAAATACAGTCTAGAGTTCACACACAACCAAACCACACAATTTCACTGAACACCAGAACTTCATTAGAAAGATACCAAGCATCTTCAAAACAATGGCTATTTTTAAATATTTTTTTTAACCAAAGTTATTCTTGTCATTTAACAAGCAAAAACTAAGCTATATAACCAAAGTATTAAATGTAGACTGTACCGAAGTTTTAATGAAATCCAGGTTTTTCAAGTTTTCCAGCAACCTTTGACTCTAAAAAAAAAAAAAATCACAGCAGAAGGGAAACAAAAGGAAGAGACAAATGCACAGTTTTACAAGTTGAAAATTATTCTGAAAAATGTTAAATAGTCACTACCATCATTTCTATTACTGAACAAACCCCTACAACATGTCAGAGATTCATCCAGTTCTTATTTGTAAGTTTAGAATGTAATGGAAAAATATTTTCTGTTTTTAGTAAAACACTGACTACAAAGCAACCTGCATTAAAATAGTGTCTTAGTGTATTTGTTGACAAAGTTCCAGAGATATTACAACTCTGATGCCTAACTAAAGTACACTGTATAGCAGAACAGTTAATTTTCTCAAAGCTACCATAGCAACTGGTTATGATGGCTTTCTAAATTATTTTCATTAGAAAAAACATTCTTACATTGTGGTTTAAGACTATTAATAGACTATTATAAAAGCTAAGATCAATCTTAGATGCCACAAAATCTTAATGACTAATGATACTTTGTCACTCTTAAGTCTTTTGTGCCAATAGCTTCTTCACTAACCATTACAGAAAACCTTCCATTTCCATTTTGCTCTTCTTTGAATTTTTTCTAAGTGCTGTACCTTTAAGGAAAAATGTTTTGCATATAAACAACGCATTTTTTAACTAATACATTATACTGGACCTTAATTTTTACTAGGGTAAGGACTTGATTTCAAAAATAGTGCTCTTGCCACTGTATCTGAAGAAATGTTTTGAAGTCCTTTTTGTCAGGCATTTATAATTTACTATTACTTAAATCGATACAATGCCGAGTAGGAAAATAAAGTCTTTCTCTGAACAGCTTTCAAGCAAAATAGTTAAAATAAAGAAGTGACAGAAAAAAAAGAAAGTGATTATGTTACTTCATTATTTAGAAAGAACAAAGATTAAGTATTTCTCATTAAAAAACTAATAAAATATACAATGTAATAGTAAAAGCACATCCCTCCCCCAAAACACTTTACTCTGCTTTCGTAATTTGTTTGTAGCACAATATGAACTGATAAGCTATACTCTCAACAACTACAGTATTTTTAGTTGATTCTTCTACAATGCATCACAATAATCAAAAATATGTATTAACAGCTATTATAAAAACATCCCTAAGTATAATGGTGTTCTGTGATAGCCATCTGGATGTTGCTTGTACTATCATTGCTATCTGAACTTTGTTTCTGCTTGGAGACACAAACTGTTAAATCAGATGGTGAGGATTCTATAGAACTGTCTCCAACTCATACTCAAAGAAGCAAAGTATCCATGAACAATGTGCCAATAAGCTACTGCTTACCAGTTGTGAGGCATGCTTTATCCTCTCCACAATCCCATCGTGGCCCAGGTACTGCAAGGAGAGCCACAGTGGCAGGGCACGGAGCTTCTCTACGGGCTGACTCGATGTCAGCCCAGCTGCTAAGGACTAAAGAGGAAAAGAAACAATAAACAAACCACTATTAACCTCTCCAATTATTCCATTTTTGACAGCTTATGGAATACATCACAGCTTAAATAGGGGAGTTTTTGCAAATTACAATTCAGAGGCTTATAAAAGAACAAGACACTACACTATGATCAAGATGAAAGTTTCAAGATCATGAGAATAATGACTGAGAAGTTGAACATACCAAAGATGGATCCTCATGTCTGTAGAGTGTCACTGCAGGTACAGCCGGGAGACCCAGCCACGAACCCAGAGTAAGAGTCATGCTGTCACATTTTGTAGCAGCCTGAAGTTTATTAGAATAACCAGAATACAAGCCATATATATTTTTATTAGATCATGACCTTAAAATCTAGAGCACATTATTAAATTTCTAGATATATTAAAACATACCAGTACAGAAGAGGAGACATAACCCAAAGCCAAAGTTGCCAAATTCACACTAGAAAAAGAAAGTGGGTTTAGCACATATTAAATATGCATTAAGAGATAGCACTTTAATCTTCAGTTTAAATATTTCATGTTGATGTGTAAAGGGAGGTAATTTTTGTTCATGTATTTTTTGTTAACAATGCAGTAGGTGTTGCTACTTGGTATTCCAAGATTGAAATCCCAAAAGTAAAAATCCATTTCAATCTAAAAATGTTTCAGTCCAACCTTTGGGGAAATCATCCCCTGAAGTCCTGCTCATAATTCATCATCAATTTGGTATCAGAAATAAATAGCACGCAAATATGACGCTATATAATGAAATACCAGGAGAAATAGAATCTCTACTCCAGGCTCAAAAAAAAAAAAAAATAAATCTTATAGCACTGGAGTCTTCATTAACATTGTCTAAGTTCTTGGAATTTCTTTTCCTCTTGGTTTAATCCTCCTCCCAGTTACATTGCACACTGCACTTGGAGCAGTCTTTCTGACAACTTTAATGAAAGTGTCATCTCTTCCACACTCATTTCATTCTCATTTCTCATTCTCAGTAATCACTGTATAATGTCTCCCCTGACTTGGCCTGTAAGGTCTTTTTATTTGTATTCCAAGCTCTTCAAAGCAAGCGTAGATAAGATTACCATCTTAGTAAAACAAACCACTAATCTACGCTGAAATACAGGTATAATTAATTGGTGTGGTTATATGTAAAACAATTTGTGTCTCGTACAGTGACAAAATTATAACCATATAAAATGCTTTAATATGACAAAAATAAAGACGGTCCTATGGCTCCCTACTAGCTGGTCAGCTGTAAAATTATGTACTGTCCATTAGACTTTGTAATAAGTCTAGTTATACAGAAATAAATTTCAAGTTTCATACCCTTCTACATGGAGCCACATATCATACTGCTCACAAAGTTCCTTCAGTCGGCCAAGTTTATCTGTGTGCCCAGCACCTGGTGTCCCTTTGTTGAAAAGGAAAAAAGGCAATGACAAAGGACAAGCATGCAAACTAGGACTCTACATAAAAGGACCTCTTGTGCTGTTGTCAAAAGTGTCACACAAGAGCAGGAAAGAGGATGTTTAAAAAGAGCCCACTATGCAATGTTAATATCTGATTCATTGTGACTTACGAGCAATTGGAATTCTAGACAAAAAAAATCAAGATACTTGTTTTGCTTGTCAATATTTATTTAAAATACTCAGAAAATTAGGTGTCCTATGCACTAAAAGACCCAGCAGCCTCAGATAAGAATTGCAGATGTTTTTAATATGTTTAAAGTATGATGTCAACTAAAGGAACTAAATCAAGATTAACATCTCAGATATTTTTACCAGTCCAAAGCAAGTAACAGTCACCTCCTTCATTCCAAATTTTTTTCCATGAGTAGTTATGTTTAATTAACCAGAAGAAAAACATAATTTTTAAAGCTAAAGTTGATAGGACATCCATCAAAAAATTCTGAAGTGTTAATGTGAAACTGATTTTCAACAAGAGATTTGCACTCATTAAAAGAAATTCTAGTCATATTAAAACATTAACTGACATAAGCAGAACTGTAGCAGTACAGTCCAACTTTAAATAGTTAAATAAAAACCCCTCTAGACAGATAAGTATTGTGTGGTCATTAAGGTATTTCCTGATATTTCTCGACATGCAACCACTAAGCTGTTTAAGAAAATGTATTTTTATTGTGGATTTTATATATATTCATGAAATAGCATGCTTTTTTGGTTATTGTTTGTCCATAGCACTTACCAGCATTGGCCACAAGCAACAAAGGCAGTTTTCCAGACTCAACATCATCTTTAATTACTCTGTCCAACAAAGCAACATCCTGTTATCAATACGAAAAAGATATGTATTTATAAAATGTTTGTCAAACAATACAGAATTGTTTTTGCTGAACTGGAAAAATGCATTAAGAGTGAAAATGGACAGCATTCTGAAGTTTTGGAAGACATTCTTAATGTCTCTGCGGCTTGCAGTGTCTTCTTCTCAAAAGTAAAATAACCTGAAGGTCAGATAAAGCATTTGTGAAAAATACAACACAAATACACCATGTAGTTTATAAGTGTACTTCCAACTACACATATTTTGGAAATCTTGGACTAAAAAGCACCTTACTATATGCCATTAAAAATATCTTGCAAATGACAAAACCAAGATACAAGCTGTTGGCTTTTTAGAAGATTTCAATCTGTGATTTGTACAGCTATAACACAGAAGACTTAGAGGTTGAAAAAGTAAGTACATTAATAAGCTTTTTGTAATAACATACTTGACATTCATTTAATGACGCTTAAAAAAAAAAATCAAAAAGAAAAAAAGAAAGAACTCAAAACCAAAAGAGCTCTTAAGAAAGACAAACTTACCATTTGGTGTTGAGATCCAAACATAGTGTTACAAGGCACACGGCACATGCAAGAAAGGGGTAACCCTAGCTGCAATAAAAATGATGGAATTTCAACAACCAAGACACACTCATTTCAAACTTTCACAGAAATTTACAAAGTGACACAAAAATAAACAAACATGACAATAAAAATCTGGATACTACATTACAAAGTAAGTTTCCTACTAAAACTTCTAATCAAATTAATAGCAGAGAAAAGAAAGCACAGGAGAAACCAGAAAAAAACAACAGTCAGCTTTTGGTTAGCCCTTTTTCTTAGCCACCCCTGCAATTAATAAATCCTATAAGCAAGGGTATGCTTTGTGCATGGGCCATGTTCCACTGGAGGTTCAGTCACTTTACTACTGAGTAGAGAGCAATCTGCCTACTTTGATGATACAGCTCAGCTGACTATTCATGGTGGTAAGTCTGAAGTACTTCCTTTGATATGGAGGCAAATTCCAGATAACTTTTGCATCATTAACATGAGGGGGAACTCGGAAATCAAGGTCTCCTACATTTTGAGCTTTAACTTGGAAGATCACTAGACAAGTGAAATCTAGTTGATTTACCCATCACTGAACAGAAGATTCAGCAGACTAGCTTGTTTTTATCCTGTCATTTAACAGAAATTGAATTAATGTCTGATTACTCAGTTCCAATTATCTCCTCTACAACATACACTGCTGCTCAAAATCTAAGATAAAAACGCTATCACTTTTAAGTTCAGTGATCACCTAATGTAGACAGGTTACTTCATAAGCAAAAGATAAGGCATCACTGCTATTAGTAGAATCTACTCTGTATTCAGAAGCAAAAGGCTCCCAAAATACTGATTCTTAGCAGGATTGCTCTATCAAGAAGCTTTGGTCAATAACTACATGCAACGCTTGGCTTATCAAATACACTAACTTATTCCAATGAACTTTTACCACCTACTTCCCAAGTCATTTTGGTTGAGACAAGTTCCATCTACGACACCATTTTTATTTCTCTGCAGTCCACATTTTTATCTGTTAGTAGCACCTCTGCCTGCCTTCTCCAAAGACTTGACAAACAAAGGCCTTAAGAACTTGCCTCTTCATTTCAGTCCATTTTAAGTTTGAAAAATACCACTAGTGCACTGAATGTTAGGTATGCAATAGGAAAGTCTGTACGTGGCCTAAATTAGCTTATTTAAGTCTAGAAACATTCATGCAAATAAATACTTGGCAAAAACATTAAGTTTTAAATATAATTAGGAAAAACTGGGTTTCCTTAAAGTGCTGGGTCGTGGGGGTAATCCTGCTATTCCAAACAAGACTTTCTGAAATGGGATCAGCAGGATCAGCACAGCCTACTTCTCCCTCAACTGTTTTCCTTTAAAAAAAAAGATAATGTTTTAATGTTTATCGAAAATAAGAGTGCAGGGGCATCATGCAGTACAAATTTTGCAATAACTCAGTGTTTGGAAATCCAGAATGTTTGGGCTCGGGTCTTTTTCACCATGACAAACAGCCTACATAAAGCACAATGCAATCTAGAAACAATCACTTGTTTTAAAAAAAAAAAAAGTTAGCACGTAGGATCCTTTCACTGGAAATATTCAGAAAATTTCTCTTCCTCCCACGGTATCGTTGCTAGAAAACACAGATTGTAAATGCAACCTGAAAGTATTTTTTTCAGACAAATTGTTTTAATTTGAACATATGGTCCACTACAGCTACTGAGGTTACCCCCAGTATGGACTTTGCTTCCTTTGAATGTTTTATACTTATGTTGGAAATCACAATAAAGTAATACCTATACACTGTATAACATTTTTGTGTTACTAGCTCGCAGATATTTGGCTGGCATCAAAGTATGGTTTCACCTCACGCTCCCTTCCCCCTCCCACCCCCTGTTGTGCTCCTGTTCAGTCACATTGCTATTGTTTCTACCATGAGGAAAAATAAGTGAGTTTTCAAAAATCACCAAAGTTAAGCTTTTCCTAAAATCAACTTCTGAGGCCAAAGCTCAGCCCTCATTCTTCAAAATGCCCCTTTTTGTACTGTGTTTCAACAGGCAGACACATCATCCTAAGTCGAAGAAACATACATAATTTTGTAAGCTATAAAAATCTACTCTGTCCATAGAAAGGCAAAGAAGAGACAAGGATGAGGGAACCTGCTCATAAGGAACGCTGATCAAGCAAACATGCAGAAGGAACAGGAGAGCTGCAGAGAGAGCCTGCTCAGCTTGCTTGGGGATACATATATTCAGTCAACATAGTAGTACTGGGAAAAATCTTGAAGAAGCTTCACTTCTAACAGTGGAAGTTCCAAGCAGATCCACACGGATCTAAAGGAAAACTTTCACTTGCCCCAACCAATTTACAAGGCTGCTGCCAGCAGTGTACTAGACTATATTGCAAGTACCAGTCTCTTGCAGGGAAAGTCTGAATATATTTTTAAAATCTAAATTTCAAGTAGGCAATATGAAGCCAAGTAGGATCTACTTGCAGCTAAAACCCCAACTGATTCACTTTACCTGACTGCAGAGAGCTTGGCCCAAGCCTGTTCTAGCTGCTGAACTAATGTATATGACAGGCTGCTTAGTATATAGCACATTAAATCCTTCTACTGTATAATCTTCATAGCGTGTGTGAATAACGAGTCGACAGATCTTTAGGAGACCTTCACGATCATCTTCATGATAATACGCTGATCCATTTTCATATCTGCAAGAAAAGTTGAGTAAATATGACCAATAAAACCAACAGCTAGTTTAGTGACTAAAATAACACTGACCAGCAAAGGAGCTCACAAGAGGACAAAGATGATAGACAAAAAAAACTTCTATTTTCCCAGGCTAAAGTAGAGTAGAAGGAAACTTGGATGAGACAGGCTGAGACTAACAATGAGGGAAGCCTAGTATATGTTTTCATTTAGACTGAGACAAAGTAAGAAAGAAAAAACATCTGGGTTCCTAGGGATTGCCTTTACAGAGTTCAAAACCTTGCTTACTAAAAGCAGAGTGGGAAAGAAACACACAAAAGGCTTCATCTGGTTTTAATATATATTTAAATTCTGGACCACTAATTTTAAAGAGAATGCAACCTAACACTTTTTAACATAAGTTAGTAAAATTGGAATGAAAGACATGAAGTGAGGTAAATGGGCAGAAACTTGCAAACTTTATTACGAAATCACAAATTGAGATAATTTGTAATACCCAAAATTACTGATGTCATTTGTATTTTAGAGTCTGAAAATAAGACCACAATTTAGTACAGTCCATTCAGCACAGTGCAAGACAGTTTTCCAGATGTTTCAAATACATGAGTTACGTAATTACAGGAATATTTTAATGATTTTATGGTTATTTTGCCTTCAATGTCATTTATTAGGCATGTTTTCTTAGGGCTCGGGGCAGGGGTGTGTGTGTAGGTATGTGGATGTGCATGGGTGTGTGCGCGTGCGTGTGCGTCTCTGCTCCTCCCCCACCTTTTTTAACTTTTCTAAGAATCAAACTCAGATCAGCACATTAACATTTACAGTCAAGAAACAAGAGCAAAGTAACCAAAGAAGAGATAAGGTATGAGTGTTCCACATTGAGGGTAATCCCTCAGCTATCTTAACTGCAGAAAAGGAAACAGCAACAGTGAAAGTAGTAGGTCTGTCAATTTATTATGCAACTTGCAAGCTAGATTTTTCTTTTAGCATTTTTGTGCAACGTGTAAGTCAGTGGTCTTGCACAATTGAAGAGTAGCATTTATCAACAAATTTACATAAAGGCACTGAAACATCTTAGGTTATCACAGGCTATCTGATGCACAAATACTGCCAAGTATTCCAGAGTTAAACTCCAGAATGATCCAAATACAAACATTTACTTCACCTTTACAGAACAGTTCTGTGATCGAACACAGGCAAAGGGAAACTCCTCTAGTGTTGCTCGTAGCCACATAAAATGTCAAGAAGCATGAAGCAGTTCACAGCATGATATTTGTTCAATGCTTTTACCTATGGGTCACAAAACTTTGGGGACCACAGTCCAACAGATATCCAGCATTAATCACAAAATTACAGTGTTATCAAATATTTGATTCAAACCAGAAATATTTCTTTTTGTTAGCCATGCCATTTAGAAACATCACTGAGACACTCTATTTACATATACATTTGTCAAAACAGCTGGATTACCTGCAACTGCAACTTCTCAAATTTCATCATAGCACAAAGTTTCAACATCTTTGACTTAAAGACAGATAAGGATAATAATTGAATTTATAAAATAATTCTGATAGAAGTGAGATCAATGTAAGAAAATTCCTTTGTAATTCTAACAACTAAGTTTGGGTTAACTCCAGTTACTGTTTCATCTTGCACTGCACTAAAAAAAAAAATCTCCTCAGTAGCACTGGCAAGATTTTCTGAAAGATACAGTATCATGAGCAGGAGAAAGTGTTTGGGTTTTTTTTTGGTTCGGTTTTTTGGGGGTTTTTGGTTTGGTTTTTTTTTTGTGCTTCAGGAAGGAAAAAAAAAAGGAATTTCTAATTAGTGAATTCCCCCCGCACTCCAACACCCCCACACAGCTGATCTCCATTCTTGTCTTGTGGAACAGTTTAAGATATCTATGCTACATGATGAAACAGGCATTTATGAAATATTTCACTGTACTTCAACTTTCAGTAGCATCACCTACCATACCTAGAAAAATAAACTAGACCCAGGAAGAGCAAATGAGAAGTTAACTGAAAATATTCTCTAAAAATATGAAGTACCCCAAGCCTCAACAACATAGCATATGCCTCAAGAAATAAGAATTTAGTTAGATGTTTGACCAATTGTATGTCTGCAACTGTACTTCGGCCCTTAGATCTACCATATAGCCCTTATAGAAGGATTTTTATGGCAACCATGTTGGTAACAAGTTCCTGCCATTCAACAAGCAGTCTATTTTTTGGTTTAAATTATGTGATGCATTTCAGACCTTCGAAAGAATATCTGCAAGTTTGTGGCACAGTGGCTTCTTTTGTTGACATCCTCAGTCCAGTCACACATATTGTTAAACAATTATCACCAACTAGTCATACATAAGTTATTCACAGTGACTCACCTGAAAAGCCTGCAGAGCCAGAGCGTGGTATCAGAAAGGATCCTTGTTGTAAGTTTTCTCAGTCTTTCCCTGTCCAGCACTGATATATATGCAGCCAAACTATGTCCCAGTAGAGCCATGTGACCCTGTTCACCAACATTTTGAAGTCTGCAAGCCAGAACAGAGTAACTGCCAAGTAAATACAGGTCATCAACATTACAGTAATTTTAGGTTTGCGTGTTTTTACTGTAGAGTGGCAGAATTTGTTGACATGCAATTTTAAATATTTAGCAGAGAGAAGTACAGTATTCCACAGTCACCTTCTTGCCATTGTGAATGACAAACTAAAATGCCAGTGCAGACAAAAGCACTTGCACTTCCTTTGGCCTAGCTGCTTATGATAACACCTCACCTTCTTTTTTAGCCAATTAGCTAGCATGAGTTGGAACTACGCACCTTATCTGCATTGGGACTTTAAAGGGCATTAAACACATACCTTTCTCTCCTCATGCAGGGAAAACTCAGGAGACTTATTACTACTATCTTTAGAGGCATATCTTTCATTAGTTTGTTGGGGTTTTCTTTTGTTTATTCTAGGGTTTTTTTGTGGGTTTTTTAATTTTTTTTTTGTTTTTTTTTAAATCTCCAAACTTCTTTTCAAATGTTAGTTTTCAATAATCTTCTGCAGATTAGTTAGTATTATTTCCATTTTACAGAAAAATGGAAACAATTTTTATTTCTTTTTTTCTTTCTTTCTTTAAAATCTACAGGGAGAGATAGTAAAAAAAATTATTGGTATGCAAACTTTTATAAGACTTTCAGACTTAAAACAACATTATGTAAGTTGCCTTTAAAAAGTTACATGGTTGCACAGTATCTTTACACTTTAAAACACTTAAACATGTAAATTCTATAATAATCAGAATATAACAAAATCAGGTATCTTCCACATACAATAATTCATATTGGCTTTACCGGTAGGCCTGTGAAGTTTCCTCTTCCTCCTCTCCATGCATTAGGTTCTGAACTAACTGAAGTATGCTCACCATATCCTGGCCACTGGCATACCGGTGAGGGGAAAGCAAAAACCACATAAAAAAAAGATAAGTATCAGCTTCTAACAAAGAGGCCATTTGGGACATTGCATGGTAAGACATGAAGACAACAATGAACTTTTACAGAATGTTGAGTATAGCAACAAAAATGGTTCCTTGCTCTCAGAAAAACAGATCATGAAGACGAGGTTGCTCAATCAATTCATTGAAAATCCTGCTTATAGTAGGACACTTCAGTAAGTATGAACTCAGACTCACAGAAAAACAAGTCTACTGAAATCTGAAAATTTGGACTGAAAAGTTTGACTTGACAACATTTAATTGCTTATTGATACACAACAAAGCAAGGTAATAGCTAAAGATCCAAATTTCTCTTCACATGATCCAGTTTCAGCTCATAAACTCAGCGCATCTCTTAAACAACTACCTACAAGTATTAGTTTCTGGCAAACAAAAGCTACGTTAGACTTCTGACATGATGCAACTCTAACCTGGTAAAACTGGAAGAGACCCACAACACTTCAACTTGTATAATTCCAACTAAAATTTACAGTAATATAAGAACTTACACACTGACTGTTGAAATTGCTTTTTATTCTTAGAAAAGCTAATTCAGTGTCTTCACTCAAAAACAAGATTAACTTACGTACACAGAAAACTTCAACAGATTTTGCAATATTTTCTGAAGTGCTAGCTTGGGCTCCTGCAGGATTGTCTTCCAAAGAGGCTACAACCAATTTAAATTGTAGTTTTCAGATACAATGATCTTACCTGCCTTATGCACAGTTCCGTATAATTTTTTTAAGACAGTTGTGCTGAAAAGGTGGAGTTTGATTTGTGTTTTTTGGTTTTTTTCAGGGTTCTTTTTTAAGGTTTTCTACCTTATCAGTCTCAGTTTTGGTTTTTTTGGTTTTTTTACCTGGGTGTTTTCATAAATCTTTACTCTATAGCACAACTTTATCTACGTTTACTTTAAGTCTCAATTACAGCTGTAGCCACCAATAGTTCATTAGATTCCAACAATTCAAAATTTCAGTCACGAAGGACAAGTAATATTTTTTTTCTTTTTCCTACATGAGTATGGAAATAGTTGGTTAGATGATAATCTTCACACACACACACACGAGTATGGAAAAAGTTGATATAATGTCTGGCAAATGTTAACGTTTGCATTAATACAGAAGTTGCTTGGATAACAAACATGTTACATGTGTTTTCAGAATCTGTAAAATACAAGAGCATTATCTAAAAGTTGTCATTGCCTACCTGCCTTGGAGTGGTCCAGGAATATCCTTCCGTGCATACTTCTTTTCATTTTCTTCCTCCACTTTTCTAAGTTAAAGACACAAGAATAAACTATGTATTTAGTTTGTGTTTTATAACATCAATGATGTAGTTAACTTTGACTTGCAGAAATACAAGCAGACATGTTTGCAATCTATTTCACTGACAACAGTTGCATAAATAAATCAGATGAGACCAACACAGCAGTTTAGCTCAGACTGAATTACAGAGTTCCTAAGTTTTGGGTTTTTAGTTCTTTAACAGAAAATGTCAAATTTACAGAAGAGTCTCACATATACAGGAATTAAAAGTTACTTGCACAACAATAAGAAAAAAAAAATCTAACTTCTTTGAAAAAACAGACTCACTGGACTTGATCTGAATATGACAGAATATGCATAAAATATGTACATTTATTTTAAAAATCCCATCATTTGAGAAACAATGGTGATTTCTATAGGTGTAAGCTTCAGAATGACAATATGACCTTAAACTACTAGGAAAATGAGTTCTTTCCTGCATAATGACAGCGACATTAATAATCCTCCCCTTAGCACAAACAGCTATTGTTTTTGTAGTTGTTGTCCTTCACACATACCTTTGATTGTCTTCTAGCATCTTCATTGCTTCATTCAGATTCTTTCCCATTTCTGCTAGAGTAGGGTCGACCATCTTTCAGGGAAAAAGATAACAACTTTAAAGGAAAGACCAAAAAACATTTATGTCCCCACAACATCCTCAATACAAATTCATGCATCGGCCAGATTCTTTTAAATTAGTCTGTGGGTACTCATTTAAAAATAACAGTATGTTGAATATCCTGAACTCAAAGTATGCAAAATAAGAACATACTACTAACCTAAAACAACCCAAAAGAAAATTCAATTGTGATGTGGATTTTATTATTGATAGATCCAATTTTTTTCTTCACAAGGAAAGTCAGAACTTTTTCTGGTGAATAATGAAAGAAAGAGTATCAGAAGGCAAGAAGGATTTGAGAAGCACAAGGTGTTCAAGTAAGTGCTCATTATAATGCTTTAGCTAAAAAATAAGTACATGCCGCCTTAGCCCAACTGAATGATTTTTTTCCATTTTCATAACCATCCTACACCAGCAATAAAACTTCAACTATTCCCTTAAATGTAAAAATTCACATGTGGTCCTATAAAAGAAACAAACCAACCAACCACAAAAAAACCCCCTCCAAAAACAAACAAATAAAAACCTGCTAAGGGACATCCTAAGCTTTCTTCAGAGCATGGAGAGCAGATTGATACCCCAAATACAATCACAAGTCTTTCAGTGGCAAATCTCATTTAGAAATTAACTTTTCACTTCACCTGAGAACTCATGTTTCTGCACCAAAAAAATCCATTACCATATCCTCAGCTGAGCTGACTTGACAGTCAGGTCTCACAATGTGCAGACTCCCATTAAAAAAACCCCAAACCCAAAACTAGCTCCTCTGCCCTAATAGTAATGGGGGCGGGGGACAGCACACAGGATGACACACACAACCAGTCACACCCCTCACACCTCCCCCAAAAACAACCCACCACCAAACACTGGGTAAGTCCAACACTATTCTTATAAAGGAAGTTACCTTCTAGAAAAGAAGTTGTTTGGAAAGCTAAATATTGAAAAATTTGACCAAGGCAGGTTTTAGGTCATTTAGAATTTTGATGCAAATTCAGGTGGAAGTTTGCATAAATTGACAGCTCATTTTTTTTTTAGATGGCCAGTTCAACCAAGAGGTATTCAAACGTGTTCAAGTAATAATTCCTAGAAGAGGTTAAAAAAGCCAACATTTCTTACCTAGGAAACACAAGAAGAAACATTTAAGACTGCTCTAGCAAAGGCAGAAATAGAATGGCAGTCTTCCCTGCTGTTTCTCCATCCTGGTCTCCCTGTCAAACTTTTACAACAGTAGTTTTCAAAACAGATGACAAAACACCTAACCCAAATACTCTTGTAAACCTATTTTTTCCTATTTCCGGTACCTTTAAACCAATTTTTTAATCCTAAATTATTGGAGAGATGTCCTTTAACTAGACAAAAAGAGTAAAGCTGTCTGCTGCAGGTCAGTTTAAGAAAGATTGATACGCAGAAAAGATTTATCTTTCAGCAGACGCAGCCTTCTGGCTACACAAACCACATAAAAAATCCTGATTTCACTGCTGAAACCAGGTTATAACAGATACTCGTTAAAGAGCCTGTCATGATGGAAGAGCTTTAAAAATCATTGAAGTTATTTCCCTGAACCAGTGAAAAGTTCAAAACCAAGTATTTTCCAGAGAACTGCTTTTGCTTTGGAGAAGTCTCTTTGATGAACTTAAACCCAAGAAGCCTGGCAGAAGCTTATGACACTGACACAAGAGATATAGACAGGAACATTTATCCATTTAAGGCTTAGATGCCATCTAGAAGCTTCCAGAGAATGTGAGAGGTATCATCTGATCGATATTAAACTGTATTTGAAAAACAAATATACTCAATATGAAGGCAGAAGGTAACGCCACTGATAAGACCCATCACATAAGAGAGCGAACCCCCTAAGATACTCAGGTGACCCTATTATAGAGTCTCTTCTCCGTTCCTCTGCTTCCCAAACGTACTGTAAGCACAGCCTCCATAAATTCAACATCAACCCTTTTTCAAGAGATTAGCCCACATACCAAAGCCTTTACTAGTTAATCCTTTAGACAGCTGCTAAGGCTGGAAGAGTGCTAGGGGAAGAGGTGGTGGTTGTTTAAAAAAAAAAGTCCAAACCAAGTTTAATATTAAAAAACTTACACTATCCACATTGCAGCGATATAACAGTCTGTCTGCTACAGTATTTGAGACACAGTATTCCTAAAGGTCTGCACATACTTTCCACCACTGCTGATGGGAACACATGCAACTGTTGCACATGTGCAACACAGGCAAAGACATTTGCTCATGCAGATGCAGACGTAACAGCAAGTTTAATCACAGAAGGCAGTGGGATTAATTTATATGAGGATTTTACGCTATTTCCATCCGGAGGACCAATCAGGAAAAGAAAAAAATTAAGTTGAGAGTTACCATATGGTCAAAGACTATTTTTACCAAAACATTTAGAGATTTAACTCATATTACAGCAAGTGGTAGGTGGCTGAAAGAATCAGTAGCCAGGCATGGTCACACTGGATCAAACCAAGATTGATAGCTCTCTGTATTCTGTTGCTTTAGAAGTGGCCAGTAACAAATGTTTGGGGGAAGAACAACAGAACAGCCTGAGTATTCAGTAATATTATCCCACAAGAACCCCCAGCATTTAGCAATAAATGGGTTTTTACACTTCTGGCTTCTACAACATCCACTGGCTATGAGGGCCACAACTTAATTAAGCACTGAGTGAAAAAGCAGTACAAATACAAAAAGTTCAAGATCTCATCACAGAGATTTAAAAAAATACACACACTGCAAGCATTTGATACAATATATATAGCTAGAAGAAAAATCTAAATATGATTGTTGGCAACATTTCCATACATTTTCAGTGGTTTCCAGAGTCGCACCACATCAAAGAAACTCTGTAAAGAAATCTCACTAAAATAAAAAAAAAAACCCAAACAATCAGTTTTGCTCCTGGGAGCCTTTAAGGGAGTAATTGACTAGACATTATTTACTGATTGTGACTCTCTCACATACTTTAATTGAGGTTGCCATAAAACATGATCAATGGCTGGAAGACAGTTATTTGCTTGAAGCTTCCTCAGCATCACATGCAAATATTCAAACAGATCTGTTGTAGATGAGGACACCAGATGTAGAGGCATTACAAAACGGACTCTGATCTGGTTTTGTTTTTACTAACACAAAATTTACCTGCTGGAATTACATCAGATGTTAAAACCTGCACATGCTTACCTTGTGACTCATCCCGTCTCACTTACTAGTAATTACACATGCATGAAACCTGTCTGTCAATAAGCTGGCAGAATAAATACATAAAATGCAGTTTTAGAAGTCCTAAGAAGTTACGTGAAGTTCTATAAAATGCTATGAAATCCAGAAAGTCTTTGAATCCTGATACGGGTTTAATTGGAAAATTAATCTCTTCCATTTTTTTTTCCAATTGCCAAGTGGAAATGCAGCAACTTACTTTCTCCTTTGAATTATGGGAAGAAAAAAAAACCCTTTTACTCCTGCATACCGAGTTTTATATATGCTTCCTCCTCTGCTCACATCAGTAAGGGCACACAGGTGGGAAGCAGAAGACTACCTACTTATTTTAAGCAGCAAGAAAAATAGGTGTGGCAAAGTTGCAGCAACAAACCATTCAGTTAAGGAAGGCTTCTGAACACATTTTAATAACATGCCATAATAAAGTAGTATGTTGCTTCAGTTTTGTCTGTAAATGAGACCAAGCGTGTACAAAATCCGATCAGTAATAAACAGAATACTTTTTTCACGGTCTTGAACAGTTTTTAAAAAGACTGCTGGATGAGTACTTTAATACTATCTCCTGAACCACAGGACAACACACTTTTTGAGGGGGTTAAAACAGCTGCATTAAATACTATATTAACCTTAGTTTCTGCACTCAGTCCTTCCCCTGGTATCACAGGATCTGACTCTGATCACAGTTAGTCGATCCTTTCACCAGATGAGGTACCAAGACATGCAACATCCTTTCAAGCTCTAAGGAGACACTAGCCATGCCTTCTTCGTTCAAGGTGCCCATTCAGCATCCTGACACTTTGTGCCTCCTTAAGCCCTTCAGAGACCCTGACATTCACTACTCTACTTTGACTTTTATCATTTGTTGCCTTCAAAATGTGTTAATTCAGTTCACTAAGGTTAACTTGCAACAGGTTTGATCTGTGGTTAATTCCCTATTTTCTAACTAATCTGTTACTATTTTTTAAGCACTTTGAACTATAAACTCTCCCTAGTTTTACAGGCAGTTTGTCACACCTTGGGGTCATTTGGCAACTGGGGAAGGATAAGGGGTCATTCTCCAGTCGTGATAAGAGTGAACATTAATTACAAATTCAAAAAGGCGAATGTTGCTTCATATACCAATGTTTTACAGTCTTGATTTTGCATTTCTGTGGTCTGTACTCCTAATGTAAGAAAGGGATGATTTTTAAACAGTCTACATAAACTATTGTGTGTGCAAAGAAACTCACAGGTGTAGCTCATTACGTATTTCATTTTCCCACTACATTATCGTATTTGCCTAGAAGAAAGTTTTACCATCAAAACCCAAAACCTGTTCTCAACAGTAAATTAATCTCAAACAACATCAGTATTCTTCAGCCAAAAGAATAGCGTGTTTATTCTCCAGGCTAATAAAAGTTTCAGGTAAGAAATAAAAAAGCAACCACTTCATGACTGTTGGGTTTGAATGAAAACAGCACTGTATCACCACACGGCTTCTGCTTATAGGTATTTGCTCTTTTAATCTTTATCACTTCCCTGACATGCAGCAGGATTTGCACACAGGTCTGCTGTCACGAGTTTTCCGTAAAGTTACTGTGTTAATTACCACGACATCCTGGCAACAAAAGACAAAAAACCCAGGCTGAGCAAGAAATCAAAACAGTTTTTTCATGTTTAGGGAAAACAGTGCTGTAGAAACAGTAAGAGGTTACAAGGAAATAATTTGCCCTATTTTACCGACAAAGTCACCTAACATGAAA